GCCTAGCGCAGTGTGCCGAGGCCTAGCGCAGTGTGCCGAGGCCTAGCACAGGGTGCCACAGCCTAGAGCAGGCCTGGTCCTGCGGTGGTGAGGCCGAGCGGCACTGCCTGCCTCCTGTCTAATCTTTTCCTCCACAGGACATCCCACCTGAACCGTAAGTAGAGGGCAGAGGAGGCAACGCTCTGCCCATGCGCCTGCCATAGCCTCACCACCGCGGGAGCCCTGGGGTGAGCAGGGCAGGACGCTCAGAGCAGGCCCTGCCTCACCGGCTCCACTCCTCCATCCCGGGGGGTCTCAGCTGCACCTTCCCAGCATGGCAGGCCCAGAGTTTTCCTCCCACAGCGCCGCTCCCCACCCACCTCCTGCGGTCCCCGGGGCGGCGGGGGGGTGGCAGCGTGGTTGTGATTGCATGCCCACTCCCAGCCGGTGGAGCCTCCTGTTATTTTGTAGTCTTTTATTCATTTTACAGTAAAACGGATTTCCAAGGAATGCACCCGAAAGCCCAACAAGAAAATATGTAGGAAAGGAGGTATGTAGCAAGCCGACCGGCAGAGAGGCACAGAGAGGAAAGAGAGAGAGAGTGAGAGAGTGCGAGGGTGCCTGTCGGTTCTCTCTGGCCCCGCGGCGTGCTCCTCTCTGTGCTGCAGCTGCCCACGGGCCCCAAGCAGCCCTGACCACTGCTGCCCGCTTCCCACTTGCCTCCACCCGGGGCTGCAGGTGGGCTCGGGGTCAGGGCAGAGCAGGATGCTTCCTTTGCTCCAGGCCTTTCAGAACAGCTGAGCCCACGCTCCCCAGGCTTCTGGGCATGAAGAGCTCCTGAAGAGACCTCTTCCCTTAGGGCTGGAGGGGCTGTGCCTCTCACCTCTTTGCCCAGAGGTGGCAAGTACCTTCCTCCCATCCCCAGATTCTGACCCACTCAGGGGAGCATCTGGGTTTAGAAGGAGATCGAGCTCTTCTCCCTTTGCATGCATGGTCAGCTGCAGCCAGAGCTCTGCCGTTAGAGTATCACTCCTCACCTGACCAGGTAATGGCTGCCATGTTCTTTCCCAGTCTCTTCTCTGCCCTTGGCTGTGCTGATGGGGCTACTTACATGCATACATACATACACAGGTGCACATGCTCACAGACAGGGCTGTGCAAGCTCAGGATCTGCTCTCCACCCCCTCACATTGCACTCTTCCTGAGCTGCAGCCTCCCAGAGGTGGCAGAGCATTTCCAGAGCAGACACAGCTCTGCTTTGTCTCGCCGCTGTCTCCAGGGCCATGCAGGGCTCCTCCTGCTGCACTGCAGCTTGGGTCCCTGGAATGATCCAGGTCGATCCCCCGTGCCATGGGCCGGGGAGCAGAGACCCGCAAACCAGATCCTCCCAGTCTGTGGTCAGACAGGGTGTTCCCTCGGTCCCACTGCCCATCCTGCACAAGCAGGCATAGCTCAGGCTGCTCCCTGCATCACTCCATCCTCCCTGCTGCCCTGAGATGCCCATCACCAGGCCAACCAGCTCTTCTGAAAGGTGCAGGAGGGAGTGTCCTGCCAGGCTGGAGCTGCCTTCCCTACCTTCCCACTGCCATCCTGGGTGTCCTACACAGTGGGTCCTCCACTCCCACTGCTTTTCTCTTCATGACCCCATGTTTGGTGGGTCTGGCACAGCTGGGCTCAGAGGTTTGGGGAGCTCTTTCCTTCCAGCGACTATTTTTTTCCTTCCCCCTCTGAGTTCTGTCGTTTGGTTTCTTTGCTTTGCTTTTCCTGTCGCTGTCCTGGCTATTCACACGCCATCTCTCTGAGTGCCAAGGCTGCCTCTGAAAGGGCTGGTGCATTAAGGAGTCTCTGCACGCTGCCTCCGGCGCAGGCTGTGCCAGCGACACCGAGCCACTTCAAAGTGCTTCCTTCCCTGGCCCCTCTGGGACTGGAGTCCCCATGGGAGCTCCTGAGGGCCTGAGTTAAGGCAGGAGAAGGGGTGGCACAAGGCACGATGAAGCACCTCAGGCACATTCTCGCTCTGGTTTTGCCCTGCGGCAGCTCTGCTCGATGGCACTTCCTTTGCAGTCTCTCCGTGGATGCATTTGGTGGCCCAACTGCGGGTCCCCGTGTGGAAGAGGCTCTCAGGGAGCTGGCGGGGATGTGCCTCTGCCCCGCTGACTCATGGACAGGCAGAGCCAGCGATTTGGGCACCCAGGCGTGACACACGGAGGATTAAAGCACCCAGACGCTGCTGCTGCCCTTCAGCTCCGGCCACTGCACTGGTGTCTGTTGACTCGAATTAATTGAATAACTTGTGAAGAGGCACTGAGGCTTCCCCCCTCCCCCGCACCCTCCCCGCTTCTGTTTAGCTCTGAATGTCCTGGGTATGCAATGTGAGGATAACACACCCGCAGTGCTTGTTTGTTCAGACTTGGTGCCATTTGACCACTGACTTGTTCAGGAGTACTCCCGATTATTATTTCTAAGGCCATTTTGTGTGTGACCGGTCAATAAGCTCTCCTCTCACAGAGCAGGAGGCCGTGTGCTGTGTCAGTGGTTTGGAATGCCTCAGCTCCCACCTTGCCGTTGCTGTCATTTCATAGCAGCCAAAGGGCTGAGAATTTGTCAGCACTTATCCCTGCCTCCACAGGGCAAAAAATGCCCCTGTCTCCCATTTGGGCGCATACTGGTCCCTCTCTTGGGCAGGGCAGCAGTGCCTTGGGATTAATTAGCGGTGCTCTGTGCAGAGGATCTGCCAGCGCCTAGCTCAGCTGCTGCTCGTGTTTTGCTGTGAAAATGAAGCTCTGCCCAGCAGAGAGCGCGTACGTGCACACAGCGTAGGGTCTATGGATGCCTCTCTGGCATGGCTGGGGACTCGCTGCCACCTCTGTGCCCTGCTACTTCAGAGTGCGACGCTCAGAAGTGAGACTCACCATTTGTGCCAGCCTGGGTGCTTTTGTGGAGCTCCTGGAGGATGGAAATGGCTCCTCCGCATTGCTCAGGGGCAGGGAGGGACGAGGCAGCACAGAGGAAAGACTCCGTGGATGCCACTGGATGCAGCTCCTGCTCCTCTCTTAGCTGAGCACGATGGCTGTAAGCATTTGAGATCCCTGCCCTCTTTATCGCTGTTTGCACTGGCGTAAGCACTATTGCAACAGTTTGCTTAAGATAGTATAAATCTGGTGCAGATGCTCCTGTTTAAGGAAAACTGATTTTATTTTTCTTTTTACTAAACTTGAGCTTAAATCTTCCTAGGGACTTCAGATAAGAGCATACATCCTTCCTATCAGCCTGAACAGTGTCACTCCACAGTCAGCTTTCAGTTAAACAGCGTAACAGGCACTCACACGAGGTGAGCAGAATGAATTTTTGATGGGCGAGGAGAGCAGGAACCACAAGAGCTTTGTTTTTTTCCCAGTACCAAGAAGCTCAAAGCAAGGCAGGGCCCTGAGGGCGGCCAGGATGGCAGCATTGGGCTGGGGGCTGCAGCCTACAGCAATGCAAAGAATATCTCACAGCAGTGGCCTTGAGTGCAGTAAAAGCAGACATAGGGAGGTGACAGAGCAAAGTGCAAGAAAGGCGTGGAAGCACTTAATCTGTAATTTCTCTTATGAGCTGTGGAGCAATGGTGGGTAGTTGTAGAGGTGAGTGACAGAGCTGGACTTGTTACGGCTGTGTTATCAGCTGCTGGCAGAAAGGCTGCTTGGCTGCAGAAACTGCTGCTGGCAGGAGCAGGACCCCCAAAACACTGCCATCCTGGCACCATGCTGCCAGTCGGGATGGTTCTGGGTTTGCACTCACCTCACAGACATCCCATCTCTTTTCAGAGTCCCCCAGTGCATCACTTTCACCCCATTTCCCATTGTTGCTTTCCAGTGTTCTCTGAAGTTGCCTCCTCCTTACGAGGCTCGGGTTCTTTCAGCCTTATTATCCCTGCCTTCACCGATCCCCAGGCTGCCAGGGCAGCTGCCCTCATCCAGATCCATCCCCATGCAGTATTCCCATCATAGAGTACCCACTGCCCTCCCACAGCTCGGAAGCACAGGGCAGATGAAGGATTGCTGCCTGTAGCATTCATTAGAGAAAATCCCTCTCCCTGTGCATTACCAGGAGGCAGGAGCAGTGCTGCACAGGTTCATTGCTTAAGTGCTTTCTGGGCTTGCAGCTCTCTAGCAAAGATGCACTCGGTCAAGCCTGAAGCCTCCACTCCAGCTCCTGCCTGCAGTCAGACTGGGGCCTCTGTGTGTGGCGGGGGTGCAGCAGGACAGAGGCATTGGGGCTGTGTGGGCTGAGGCTGGAGGAGGCAGGAGTGCTGGGTTAGAAGGAGAACCTGCAGAACATCAAGTGCCTCTGGAGATGTCCCTGCCCCGGGGCAGGCTGCTCTGCCCGACCCGTGCCCAGTATTTGTCATGCCTCTCCTTAACCTCCTCCCCAGACCATCTTCCACTGTTCTTCTGCCCTTTCTGCCAGAAAACTCTTCTTTACTGTCTGCCTTGTGTGGCTCCGCCAGCCACTGCCCAGTGGAGCAGAAGTCACTCCCTGTGTCACTGCTGGGCCTTGCCCTGCCTGGGGAGGCTGCAAGCACAGCTCCCTGCTGTCAGCACTGGCCTCGTCTTCCTCAAACTTTGCTCTCCTGATGGATTTCCTAGACATCTGGTCCTCGCTCCTCTGTCCAGAAAGTCATGGCACGGAGCACTGTGCTCCCCTCTTGTACCCCAAGTTTGTGCTCTGAGCAAGGTGAGGCTGCTCTCCCCAACCGGGCTTTTGGGTTCTCTCTACAACAAAAGGCATTTGCACTTGCCCTGATGGAGCTGCCCCGTGGGCAGGTCAGGCAGAGCTGGGCAGATAGGATCGGGGCTCTGGGACCGTGCTGGTGCCCAGTGCAACCCACAAAGGCATTTAGGACATTAGAAAGACGGATGTTTTTTGCAGCACGGGCAAGCTGCCGTCACAAGCTGGCAGTTTACAGCACAGGGCTGTGGGCTGACCTGACTCTTTGGCTGTGCTGGTGGCAGATGAGGACACGGCTTTGGGATGCTCCCAGCCCCTGCACCCTGGGGAGGAGCTGGGAAGGGCCCGGGGAGCAGCAGCACAGCACTGTGGCACCGGGGCAGCCTTGTGCCCTCCGTGCCGTGGCTCTGGGAGAGGTGCAGTGTGAGTAGCCAGCAGTGCTGTGGGGTGCAAGCCTGGCCCCACCAGCTCTGCTATCACGCTATTTTTGAATTCTCTTTTGTGTTTTTTTTTTCTTCTTTTGTTGGTTTTTTTTTTTTCTGTTGTTGTTGTTGTTTTGTTTTTCTCCTTTTTTTTTTTTTTTTTCTTTTTTCTTTCTTTTTTCTTCTTTTTTTCTTTTCTGTTTTTTTTTTTCTGTCTCCTCGTGTTTGGTCCCTAGGAGCCAGCGCTAAGAAACAGGGAGAGGACTTAGCGGATAATGACGGGGATGAAGACGAAGGTATTTCTGTGCTCGAGGCTGCCACTGCATGACACGCAGAGCAACTCCGTATGCCCGCCATCCGCTGCCATCCCCAGGGAGCCCCGTGTGTGTCTGTCTCAGCGCTGGGCAGCTGCGCGGGGCGGGGGGCAGGGGGGCCGGCTGTGCAGGGCTCAGCCCCATCCTCTCCTCCTGGGGAAGCTTTGAGGTCGTGCTGCAGGAGAAGTTTGCTGGCTGCCCCGCTCCGCTCGAGCGAGGGCCGGGAGGAAGCATGGCAGCTTGGGAGCAGAGGAGCCCTCGGGCACCTGGGCCCATTTCACCCCGAGCCCGGTCATATTCCACCTCCAGCCTCATCCCTCCAGACTTAGCGATGCACGACGGGAGCCTGCACTCTCCCCTCCCACCTGCTTCCAGTATGGGACAGAAGCATGGACACCCGTGCCACTGATCTGTGCCCAGTCCCAGCCGGGTGTGCTGCACCCATTTTTTTTCCTAATGCCAGGTGTTGCTTGTGCCACTTCATCTGTGCCAGATGAGGCAGAGTGAGTGCAATGTCAGACGGGTGTGTTTCATTGCCAGCAGGTTAAGAAAGCTGCAGAACAGGCGGTTTTTGGTAACACGGGGCTGCTCGGCCACAGGGTTGGGACTCGGTGTGTTTTGTTGCAGAGATGTGAGGAGGAGGTCAGCCAGGATGCAGCTGTAACACAGTGAGGGCACTGCGACCTCGTGGGCTGTGGAGTGCTGGGGCAGCCCGGAGCCCGTCCTGGCAGATGGCATTTGGGTTCTGGGAAGCAGATGAAAAGCCAGTTCATTGGCAGCAGCAAAACCTGTTGTTTTCTTCCAGTAACCTGTGCCCCAGGATCTCTTGTACCAGGGCATAAACTGGCATCCGTCCTAAATGATCTGACTGCAGAAAATCCCTGCATGCCGAAATTGTGCCACAAAGATTAGGAGCCATTTTTTCCCTGCTCTGCCTCTGCGTTTTAATGCCGATCTGATACAGGGATGGCCCTTCGTGTTTTGGTAGTGGCATATAGCAGTGGGGAGAGGACAGAGCTGCAAGAATGAGTGCTGGAGCTCTTGGGGTTTCACCCAAGAGGTTTTCCTGGCAGAGCACTGCAGGTTGGCCGCCACGGTGGGGTGTGCGGGGAGGTGGGGATGGAGCTGTGGTCGGGGCAGCTGGAGAGGGTAAGAGCTGTGCCTGGTGCCAGCCAGTGCCCACCAATGCACAGCACTGGGTGCAGGTGAGCACAAAGGAGAGCAAAGTCCATGAGTGCTGGAGAGGGCTGAGCATGCAGGAGCTGACACTGCCACTGCGATTTGTGCAGCTGCTTCCATGCAATGTGGGTGAGATGTTCCGCGGGCCCAGTGTGGGTACGGCTGCCCCCAGGACAAGGATAGTGAGGAGAGAGAGACAGCACGGCTGCTCCTCAACCCTAGGCTCCTCCGGTGCTCTCTCCCCAGTCCTCAGGTCCCATTCCCCATCCTCACTCCATGCCTCATGACCTGTCCTCGCCCAGCCTCGGCGCTCACCTCCCCAACACGCACACATGCACGCACTGTCTGCTCATCGCCATGTCTGTGTCCGGGCACTGGGGTGCCATGGGTTCACATCCAGGCAGCCGGCAGATTTCTGCCTCCCTGGGCAATCGGGAAGGTGGGGAGGCGGGTGAGTGAGAGGTGGGAGCACCCACCAGTGCCCCCCCGCCCTCCAGGTCCTGCACACCCCATCCCTGCCCCTCTTCAATGCCAGCTGCCAGCACTTCCGGAGCTGAGGGCTCGGGGCCACAGGGACACAGGGACAAACTCCATGAGCACCCCCAGTCTGTTGGTGCCCTCCAGCCACTGTCACCATGAGGGTGCCAGCTCCTGCCTGTCGCCAGAGCCCGGCTCCAGGGAAGAGCAGCTGGGTGCAGCCGGTGCCTCTCCTGCATGCATTGAGACTCTGGGCAGCTCCTGCCCAGGGGACAGCAGTGCTGGGATGGTGATAGTGGCTGCCTACCACGGCGGGGGGGGGGGGGGGCGGCTGGCAGGGTTTAGGAGGTTGGCAGGACTGTGCTATGGCTTTGGGCTCTGGGTTTGGCTGCTGCAGCCCCCTCCCTGGTCCTGGCAGCTGGCATTGCCCTCCTCTCTCTGTGGTCTGCCTCTCGGCAGGGTGCTGCGATCGCCAGCGTGGTCCCGTGTTTAACCTCCTCTCCTTCCAGACATCCGGGACAGCGGGGCCAAGCCAGTGATGGTGTACATCCACGGCGGCTCATACATGGAGGGCACGGGGAACATGATCGACGGCAGCGTCCTGGCCAGCTACGGGAACGTGATCGTCATCACACTCAACTACCGCGTCGGAGTGCTCGGTATGGGCTGTGCCACGGGACAGGGGGCAGGGAGAGGTGGCCGAGTGCCACGTGGCGGTGCCCACAGCAGCGTGGTCAAGTTCCTGGCACCGGCCACCCAGGCTTTTTTACTCAACCTGGCTCAGCTGAAAGCAAATATTGGTTTGTGGCTAAATAAATAAGAAATGTGTTTAGACAGCATCATCTCCTGAGAGTGCTCACAGCTCCGAGCTGCCAGAGGGTGCTGCCTCACCGCCCTGCGGATGCCATTAGAGCCAACAGCAGTGCCTGTGCTCCAGCAGCCTGTGTCCAGGGCTAGGGCAGGTTCAGGAGCTCCCCTTACCCTACATGGGCAATGCACAAGCCCAGATGCATCCCTTGGGGAAAGAAACAGGAGGGCTGTAAGGTTGATTTTGCTCTCTGTGGTTTCCTGCAAGATGCACAGAACCGTGCTCAGCCCTCCAAGGGCTTTGCTTGGGAAAAGTCCATCCAAGCAATCTGCAGGCTCTGCTGCTCTCACTCAGCTGGGTCAGGAGCTCAGTGCCCCACACCTGGGCACCACATCCTTCCGACAGCCCCTGTGCCCAACCTTCCTCGTGGGGATGACGGTCACACATCAGCAGCCTTGCTTGGATTTACCTGATAGAAAATAAGCTTTTCTGTCAGAACAAACATACTTGAGACCTTTCAATATTAAAAGTCAGGCCTTTCAGATTGATAGTGCAAATTTAAGAGATCTGAAATACAATCTGAAATCTGACTTAAAAGGTACCATTGGCATCTCCACTGAAGTGCTGCAGTGTGCCGGCAGGCGCACCCAGGTGCCGGAGCAGCACCACTCCCTGCTGCCAGGTAACTCTCAGAGCCATGCCTTTGGCTTCCTGCTTTGAGTCAAGGCAAACAAAACACTGATAGCTTATCTTGGGTGTTACCTTTACTATTGAAAGCATTTCTCAGCATCTTCCTCACTGAAAGTCTTTGCATTTTAAGCTGCAGTCGGTTCCTTTCTGCCCAGCCCACCTCCTTACATTTATAGTGCCTCCTCCAGACCATGCTATTCCATGGGAAGCATTGGCTGTGCATGCACGCTGCTCCCTGGCACTCTCAGCTTTCCTTGGAGCATCCCTTGGAGATGTCCTGGCCTGTTGTTAGTGTGGCTGGTGGTCGGGGTAGGGCAGAGCTCATGCCCATCATCCTGTCTCTGCCTGGAGTTGCTCCATCTCACCCCTCAGCCCCTCACCCACATGTGAGCAGCACTTTAATATCCCCACTCCAACCACAGCAGCCATAGAACCCCACTGGTCATGATGGGACGGGATCCCATAGGCTCAGGAAAGGGTGGGAGATCGGCCTGCTTCCCCCATCACTAACAGGGCTCTGCTTCACTCTCAGGGTTCCTGAGCACAGGGGACCAGGCTGCCAAGGGCAACTACGGGCTGCTGGACCAGATCCAGGCGCTGCGTTGGGTCAGTGAGAACATTGCCTTCTTCGGCGGCGATCCTTTGCGCATCACCGTCTTCGGTTCCGGCATCGGCGCCTCCTGCGTCAGCCTGCTCACCCTCTCCCACCACTCAGAAGGTAGGTGCCAGGGGTGCCAAGGAATTCGTGCTGGAGTAGAGGCAAAGGTGGGTGTGAGACTGCAGGGGAAATGAGGCCCCATGGTACCGGAGCGGAGATCTGGGTGTGCTGAAATTTGCACAACGCAGATGGAGGTGATGAGGTTGATATCGCATTGTAAATACGGTGGAGTGTTTGCTCTAGATAAAGAAAGGAATTGTTTATGCTGCGAGATTGTGCTGGTGTAAGAGCAAATGCATATAGAACACCTGTGAATAAATTTACATTGAAAACTGGAAAAAAGATTTTCAGCCAACTGAGAAGAGCTGTTCTGCCTTTAACTTCCTAAAGAAAGTGGTACGAGGAAAACCTGAACTGAGCGTGGCCCACAGGACACCAGACTGCCAGGGAGTAGTTCTATGGGGCACATACATGATAGTTAACCTCATGTAGTACCACATCCCTGCATGTGGGCACAGGACACAGGGGCAGTGGGCAACAGTGCTCCTCAGAAACGCAGGCAGGCACAACAAAATGACAACTCACACTGAAGAGCTGCAGCCCTGCTAGAGAGCCTGGGAACAGTGCACAAAGAAAGGAAACTTTCAGCAAGTCAGCACGTGGCAGAGGAGCTGATCAGCCTTCCCTCCGGGACTTGGGAGGACAAAGGATGGACTGATCACCCCAAACTTTAAAGTAGCAGTGATTTCAGCCCAGACTTCTACGAAGGTATCTGCACCAGAGCCAGCAGCGCCGTCCAATTTGTAGCATTTGGTTTGAAGGGTGCAGCTTGGAGGTGCCACGTCCAGCACATGGCAAAGATGGGCTTGCAAAGAGGTGAAAGGTTTGGAAACAAGAAGGAAGGTGAAGCTGCGGTGGCCCAGGATAGGTCTGCTCTGAGTAAACTGCTTTCCCTGCTGCCCCAGGATCTCAGGACATTTGTGATCAGTCCATGCTCCTCCACGAGTGCCCAGTGCCCAAAGTCAGTGCCTCTGCTCTGCACAGTGCTCCATCCTCCCGCTGACCCTTAGCAGGATGCTGCTGGGGATGTCACCCCATCTTCTTCAGGTCACTTGTGCAAACACGACTGGGTATTAGGAGGAGACACTTTCTATGGTAAAACCAGGAAATGCTTTGCATGAGTGGTCTGGGAAATCTGGTGTTGTGTGATGAAGGAGCAAGGGCGGATCTCTGCAGATTCCTGAGCAGCAGGATGGGCTCCACCTCCATGCAGGGGACACTCTGTGGCTCAAGGACTCATGTGTGACCATGCTATCCTCATGGATGAGTACCTGGGGCTCTGCAAGCCCTCCTGCACATGCACGGGTACATGGGGCCGTGAATACACCAGTCTTTTGCAGCCTGAAAGCTCCTACACAGAGAGAAGGGTTTTCTCTGACCAAACTGAGTTGGAGATGCAGCTGGCAGCACAGAGAGAGGCTGGTGGATTGGGGAACCCAGCAATTACTTCCCCAGAACAACTGCAGCTGCTTGCTGGCTTTCCCTCCATGGTTGAAGAGCCCAGCGCAGCACTTTCTGGGTGACACCAGGCTTTCTGCCACTAAACCCTGTGTCTGCATGCTGTGTCCTTTGCATCACATTGGTGCTGGGCACCTGGCTCCTTCACCGCCTTGGCTATGAACGCAGCGAGGAGGGAGGGGAGACGCTGATGCTGCAGCCAGGACTGCATCAGAACAAATGGACACAGAACGCCCTCATCCAGCCCCGCTCCAGGGCACCCATCTCCCCAGGGCCACCTCTGCAGCGCAGCAGGGAAGCCACACTGAGACTCAGCCTGGAGACCAGGCGGGTTTGTTTTTATCGGATCAAAATAAAACACGTAGTGATCAAGAGCTATTAATGAAGCAGCTAATTTGTGCCTGCTCTGCCAGGCGCGGCGAGAGGCAGACATGGGAGGCTGGTGCTGTGCACGCTGTGTCTGGCTGCCGGGAAGACCCGCAGCTCCCCTGCCAGCCCTGTTGCTTGCTAGCAGGTGGATTCCCTGCCAAGAAGCAAAGTGCTGCTTCTCTCCTCCAACAAAGGTGTGGGGAGGGGGGGTCTGTCATCTTGGTGGGAAATGGCCAGTGCCCAGTGGGCAGCACACTGATGGCGGGGTCAATAGCTGCTGCTGTAGGGAGTGTCTGTAAAGAGGATCCTCACCTTGGAGGCACCCAGCGAGGCTCAGGGAACCCTTAGATCAGCTGCTCCATGGTGGGTGATGGTGAAGAGCATGCAAGCCCACGGTCAGACTCAGGCCTGTAGGCTGGGCACTGCTTTCTAGGGCACTGGGAGGTGACAAACAGAGCTTGTGACTTCTCTTTGTCCCAGCGCATGGGACTGTACGTCAGGTACTTGGCAGAGCAAGGACTGTGCGTGCAGACAGCTATGGGCACTGTGGCTGATAGCCAGGATCCTCCCAGCACTGCTGCTGCAGGAAGGAACACGCTCCCTGCAAAGCTGCGTGGGTCCAGGTGTGCAGCCAGGTCTCCTGCAGCACTCCAAGCTCAGCCATGCCCCGTGCCCTGCACCACACATGAAATGGAATCTGGCAGCCGTCAAGTGCCAGGGTTCAGCAAGGCACAGGGGTGCAAGAGAGGGCTGGCCAGAGAGCAGAGACCACGGGGTGCACCCCAAGCTCGGCCGCCTTGCACCGCCCCGGAGGCTCCGCTTCCTCGCAGCCCTTTGTATTCCGAGCACAAGCGCCATTGACATGGGGCTGGAGCCCAGCCACACATTCCTCCGCCTGGGCCAGGGCCTTTGTGGCCCCGCTTTCCAGGGCGAAAGTCCACTCCCTCTGTGTTCCCAGTGGCAGAAAGGCCCTCTTTGTGCATCTGGCAGCGTGCTCCCGCGGGGCCGGATTGGCACCAAGCAGCCCCAGCTGGGCAGGAAGTGGCAGGGAGGGGGGTGAGGGGGACCCTGACAAAGCAGCGGGTGGGACATGCAGGGTTAAGTGTCCCCGAGCAGGGATTAACCCTCCCGCTGCTGCTGCGTGGTCCCATCCAGGCTGGGGGATGACGGCAGCGTGTGATGGCGGAGATGGAGCGTGATGTTCAGCCAGCCATGGCTGTGACACAGCCATGAATGGCCCCACGAGATGCTGGGACCCCCCCACGAGATGCCTGCCATGGGAGCACAGCACCCCATTGCAGCCTCGGGGTGTTGGAGCGTCTCTGAGCTCCTTGTTTCTCTTGCAGGTCTCTTCCAGAGAGCCATCATCCAGAGTGGCTCCGCGCTCTCCAGCTGGGCGGTGAACTACCAGCCCGTCAAGTACACCAGCATGCTGGCAGACAAGGTGGGCTGCAACGTGCTGGACACGGTGGACATGGTGGACTGCCTGCGGCAGAAGAGCGCCAAGGAGTTGGTGGAACAAGACATCCAGCCGGCCCGCTACCACGTGGCCTTTGGGCCGGTCATCGACGGGGACGTGATCCCAGATGACCCAGAGATCCTGATGGAGCAGGGCGAGTTCCTCAATTACGACATCATGCTGGGTGTCAACCAAGGCGAAGGGCTGAAGTTCGTGGAGGGCGTGGTGGACCCCGAGGATGGCGTTTCGGGCAGCGACTTTGACTACTCGGTCTCCAACTTTGTAGACAATCTGTATGGTTACCCCGAGGGCAAGGACACCCTGCGAGAAACCATCAAGTTCATGTACACAGACTGGGCTGACAGGGACAACCCCGAGACGCGCCGCAAGACCCTGGTGGCCCTCTTCACTGACCACCAGTGGGTGGAGCCATCGGTGGTGACAGCCGACCTGCACGCCCGCTACGGCTCCCCAACCTACTTCTACGCCTTCTACCACCACTGCCAGAGCCTGATGAAGCCCGCGTGGTCCGACGCGGCCCACGGGGATGAGGTGCCTTACGTGTTTGGGATCCCCATGATCGGCCCCACAGACCTCTTTCCCTGCAACTTCTCTAAGAACGATGTCATGCTCAGTGCTGTGGTGATGACCTACTGGACCAACTTTGCCAAGACAGGGTGAGCGAGGCAGGGTGGGGAGCGGTCTGCACTTGAGTGAGGGGTGGCAGGGTGGCACTGAGTCCCCTGTCCCTGGAGATCCATGGGCTTGGCTCCTCGTGCTCCTGCCTTGGGCAGGGCAATCGTGACCTGGCATGGCTGTAGCCAGCGTCAGCCCAGGACAGGGCTCCAGCCACAGCTGAGAGCAGGGGTGTGGGAGCAATTTGGTCACGGTTATCACGGGTGAGGCTCAACTCAGGGTTTGGGATGATGCCCATCTGTGCCTCCCTTTGTTTATCCGGAGGTAGCTGGCTCTTTCACCTCGCCTCTCTGGCTCTGCCGGGTGCTAGCTCTGTTTTGTCTGTGTCTCGCAGGGACCCCAACAAGCCCGTCCCACAGGACACCAAGTTCATCCACACCAAGGCCAACAGGTTTGAGGAGGTGGCCTGGTCCAAGTACAACCCCCGCGACCAGCTGTACCTGCACATCGGGCTGAAGCCGCGGGTGCGCGACCACTACCGAGCCACCAAGGTGGCTTTCTGGAAGCACCTGGTCCCCCACCTGTACAACCTGCACGACATGTTCCACTACACCTCCACCACCACCAAAGTGCCGCCTCCCGACACCACGCAGAACTCCCACATCACCCGCCGGCCCAACGGCAAGATCTGGACCACCAAGCGCCCCGCCATCTCACCCGCCTACAACAGCGAGAACGGGAAGGAGAAGTGGAGCCCGGAGCAGGAGGCGGGCACCCTGCTCGAGAGCCCCCGCGACTACTCCACCGAGCTGAGCGTCACCATTGCCGTGGGCGCCTCGCTCCTCTTCCTCAACGTCTTGGCCTTCGCCGCCCTCTACTACCGCAAGGACAAGCGGCGGCAGGACACGCACCGGCAGCCCAGCCCGCAGCGCGGCGCCGCCAACGACATTGCCCACGCGCCCGACGAGGAGATGCCATCCCTGCAGGCCGGCCAGGCGCACCACGAGTGCGAGGCCGTGCCGCCCCACGACACCCTGCGCCTCGCCGCCCTGCCCGACTACACGCTGACGCTGCGCCGCTCCCCGGACGACATCCCGCTCATGACGCCCAACACCATCACCATGATCCCCAACTCGCTGGTGGGGCTGCAGACCCTGCACCCCTACAACACCTTCGCCTCCGGTTTCAACAGCACGGGGCTCCCGCACTCACACTCCACCACCAGGGTATAGCTGCCCGCGGCTGGCGCACACCCATGCACGCACGCACACGCACTCGGCAGACACTGGCAGAGGGACCGGCGGGAGCCCCCTGGGACGGACAGACAGACGGACGGGTGGCACACACGGACGGTGTGACACCAAGCCCAAACCTGCGGGCGCTGCGCACCGCCGGCCGCCACGCTTCCCTCGGCGCTTTCTTTCATTCCTTTCTAACTTTGAGAAGTGCTTCAACTCTCCGGCTCCCGGCAGGAGGGCCCCACTGGTGCACCGGGGCTGTGCCCCCCGATGGGGACACGGCGGCACCCGCGCCCACTGAGCACCCCGAGACGGGCGAGCGGCGGTGCCGGGTATCCCTCTTGGAGGAGGTTTGGCATCCAGAGCGCCGTGGATAAGGCTCCGTCACTGTGCCATGGTGCTAAGGGCAGAGGCAGCAGGCAGGGACCCGGCCTCGCGCTGGGTGCGGGCGCTGGGAGCCGGGGAGCCGCCCCGCGATGGAGACGTGGCACCTCTGCCCCCTCTTTGCGCTGCAGAGAATCTCTTTTGTGTCAGTCGTTTCTCTTTGCAGAGACGTTTTTTAAAGCAGATCTTTAGTTCTTTACACACTAACGGAGTCGCCGCGTTTTGTCCTTTGTAAAGATTTTAAACCAAGTGTTCTTGATATAAAATAAAAAGCCAGTTAGAAGAACCCCAGCGTGTGTGCACGGTGCCGGCCCTGACGCGGCCCCACAGCCCCAGTACCCGTGCACGGGGCCAGCGGGCACCAGGCACCAGGCAGGGCCCTGCCTGCCGCGCTGCGAGGCCGCGCTCTTTTGTATTTTTGATATTCTCCCTCCTCTGTCACCCGTGCCCACGGATCTCAGCCAAAAAGCCCACTCCAGGGCCCAGCCACGGGCGCCCCACAGCCCCTCAGCCCCATCCCAACCCCCAGTCCAGTGCCACTCTCTGTGGGGTCGCCCAGTGGGGTTGGATGCGCGCTGCCAAAGCGCAGCCACCCACAGCCACCCTGCCCTGCTCGCCACCACCCCATGCAGGGTGTGCCACTGGGGACAGGGCACCCACCCCAGGGCTGGGGCACCCGCAGAGCCGGCGATGGCCGCAGGTGGTGGGGAGCTTAGGGCTGGATGTGGGGAAGTAGCTACCCGGGAGCAGTGAGGGCAGGGGTTGGTTTGGCCCCCAGCGTGGTCACCCTGAGCACAGGAGGGGACGGGTCCTGTGTCCCCACAGGGATGCCACCCTCAGCCTCGGTCCGGCTGGCAGACGCTGCCCGCACTGGCAGCCGTGACGCATTGGTGCCGGCTGACCCCACACAGCCCCACACGGCCCCACACAGCCTTGGTTTGGGGTGAGGGTGCTGGTTGGAGAATGTATTTATACCCTGTCACCCGCTCAGAGTAACAAATTCCAAATAAAACAGAAGTGATATTTTTAATAGTGGTGTGTCTTGCCTCTCCTTGAAACGTGCAGGGGGTGGATCACAGGGATGCCCCAACCTGGGGGTCCCCATGGTCCCGGCACCCACCTGGGCAGGAGTGTCACCTGTCCCCTGATGCCACTGGGGGCACGGTAGGGTCCCCACATGTCCCAGCCCTTCTGGGTCCCTGTGGCATTGAGGTCCTGTGCAGGACCTCGCCCACTCCATAGGTGTCCCACAATGTCCCCTCCCGCCCTGCCCAGCCCTGCTCCCCTCCCCCTGCTTGCTGATCAGAAATCTGCTGGTTTCATTGCTTTTTAATGTAATTTCCACTGGAGTCGCCATGGCAACCAGGCATGGGGGCCTGAATCGCCTCCAGGCAGCGCAGCAGAAGAGCCGGGCCGACGGCTGGGGCCAGGGGGGACCAGGGGGAGGCAGGCAGTGCTGCATGGGTGCTGCTTTGGGGAGTCCTCATCCTGCAGCCAGCACGAGGTAGAGGCACCCAGGGACAGGTGACCCTTTGCCATGGGGTTGATGTAGGGATGCTCCGCTGGTATCCTTCCCCACCCCAAATCCTGGCCCTTCAGCCCCCACTCAGCACTGCCCCGATCTCAGTGCCCTCTGCTCAGACCCACCCAACTCTCCCATCGAATGCCGCCTTCAGCGCCAGCTGCAGGAGAACTGGGATGGATGGAAACCTTGGAAACCCACATTGGTCCACGGGGGACGGGTTGCCATGGCGATGCCATCGCTCCGCAGCACAGCTCCAGCACAGCCCCGCTCACTGCAGTGCAGGCAGTGGAGCCAGCGCTGCCCAGGGGATGGCAGCCCACCCCAAAGACCCCAAGGACAACGCCAGCTGCCCGCCCTGCAATCCCCTGCACGGGGTGGGGGAGGTAGGTTCTTGCCCCACAACAGGAGCTCTCTCTGTATTCTGTGCCCCATTCCTTGCTGTCCCCATGGACCATCACGGCCACCCCAGCAGGACCCTGGGTGCAAGCTGGTGACTGGCAACACACTGCTATGAAGATCCTGCTTCTGCCATCTTCCCCAGCCTGCTGCCATCTGCTCTGGGTGTCCCCACCATCAGCAGAGAGCGGACACCGCATCCCCGAGAGCACACGTGGTCAACATCCGTGTGAGGACACGGGATATCCCCAGCTCCGGGGATGTGGTTGGAGCTGCAGGCATAGAGAAGCAGAAATAAACTGAACTGCGATGGCAGCGAGGCATGGAGAGGGCACGAGAGGCCACTGTGTGTCCGTGATGCTCCAGGAGCCACCGCCTGCGGGAGTGCAGCAGCATTGCTGTGTCCTGGTCCTGGTCCAGGTCCCCACCCCCCCAGCTTAGGGCCCAGCCACACAGCGCACCCATTGCTCCACGAGCACTGTGTTCCCCTGACCTCGCTCTGCAGCACAAAGCATTTCTGTGCTGTCTGCACCCTTCCTGGCACAGCAGACTCCAACGAGGGGGATCTGCCTCCTTGGGGAGTCCGTGATGCCATCACTTCAGCTCTGACAGCACCGCCCGGCACTGCTGTGCGTCGGTGATGGTTGGACACGGATTCCCTCTGTGACACTCTGACCCCACGGCCGCAGCACTGCGTCAGCCCGGCCCTGCAGCCGGATGCCGTCCCAGCACAACGCCTCTCCCGTACCCACAGCCTCACACATCACCATCGTGCTGCCAACCTCAGGATTGGCGTCACCACCCGTGAGCCCACGTCCGCTCCCGGCGGCCAAGGGCCGGTCCTGCCCTCGGAGTACAGCCTGTCCCTGCACGAGGGCTTTGCACAATGTTTTTGCTGCTGTACAAAGGGCAGCAGCTGCTGATGGCACCAACACGTCCCCACTTGACGCACTCTGTCCTGGGGTCACCGCTCGCAGTTCTCCACCCCCACCCCAAGCCTCATTCCCACCTCCACCTCCATCCACATTCCCGTCTTCATCTTCATCCCCATGCCATCCCCGTTCCTACTCTAATCCTCATCTCATTCCATCCCATCTCATTACTATTCTAATCCTCACCTCATTCAATTCCATCCCCATCCCCATCCAATTCCCATTCCCATTCTCATTCTCACCCTCATTCCCATTCCTGTCTACACCCCACTCCACCCCACCCCTCCCCACTCCTTCCCCACCCCTCCCCACTCCTTCCCCATCCCCCTCCCCATCCCCATCCCCATCTCCATCCCCATCCCTACCCCCATCCCCATCCCATCTCCTTTCCCATTCCGACCCATCCCGGCCCCGCAGCGCCCTCTGCCGCCGCAGTTCCGTCTCCCAGCGCGGTGGGGCGCTGGGTGCAGTGCTGACTCAGCCCCTTATGGGGGACGGCCGCCCCTCCCCGCCCTCAGCCCCATCCCGGGCCCCGCAGCCCCGCGTCGCTTCCACCCCAGTGCCCCTCCGGCCCCTTCGCCGTTTCCCATCTCTTCGACGGGACCTTGGAGCGGCCGCTCCGCCAGTTAATGGTTGACAGAGGCTGTTTGTTTTTCCCCTCTGCGGTTTTTCCCATTAAATTTGGGTGTCGGGAACGACCAACGACGCCCGGAGCTGCTCCGTGGGGGTGTGCGGAGCCCCGTGTCCCCCGCCCGGCAGCGCACGGCTCGCGGAGGGAACGATAGGACGGGACGGGGCCGTGGGGCGGTGCGTTGACCCCAAGGCACGGCGAGGGGAACGGGACACACCTGCGGCGCTGGAAAAGAGCAGCGGAACGATTTGGGAGGGGTGGGCGGCGACCGGGGCGGTATAAAGTCCAGGGTGCAGCTCCGAACGCTGCGTCGGGAGGTGTGCGGGACCGAGAGCTTTCGCCGTCCAGTCGGCGAGGTGGGTACCGCGGGGGGGACCCGGGGCTCGGCCGCAAGGAGCGCGACGCGCTGCGCCCGATCCGAGCGCTCGGCATCGGGGCTGCGGGGCTGGCACACGGAGGGCACCGCCGTGCTGTCCCCGCCTTCCTCCCCACCGTGCCACGTCCGTGCCTGGCCCTGAGCTGGAGCCGTGCCACGCGTGCCGCTCCGTGTCCGGGGCTGGTGGAAGACACGGGGACCCCTTTTCTCTGTGCACGGGAAGGCACGGATGGCACCATTCCCGGCCCCGCTGTGCCATCGCTGCCGCACGGAGACGCGGCTCGGCTTAGTCCCGTGTCCCCAGCACGTGGCTGCACTGGGTGCTCGCCGTTCGGGGAGGTGACCGTCCCCACTGCCACGTCCAGCCCGCCGTACTCAGGTGGCTGCCGACCCGGAGACCCCCCCGGTGGCGGCGGAGGAGCCACATCCGTGCTGGGCGCGGGGCGAGGTGGGAGCGGGGACGCAGCACACAGGGACTTTGTTTGGCTGGGGTGGGCGGAAGTCGGGGCGTTGGATCTGAATGCTAAAGTGTGTTGTTCAGGAGCCCATAAAGGCCCCATTGTATGCAAATAGTTTATAAAGCAGCATATGACTTCCAGTGCAGGGCAGTGGTGGACAGAGACGAGGGCAGGCGGAGCAGAGCTCTGCTGCGGGAGACATGAGACCTTAGAGGGGCCTTTGGGGGCAGCTCAGCAGGACTCTTCCTCACTGCCAGGTATGCGCTGGGGCGGCTCCCAGCCCTGTGCCTGGGTGCAGAGCACCCCCCGTGCTGCTCGGTGCTGGCATTCGGGGTGTGTAGGGCAGGGCAGGGCTGGGGCAGGAGGAGGGTGGTACTGCAGGGCTGCAACCCCAGGGCTGGGGATCCCCAGCTGTGCTCTAGGATTGTTGTGGGAGTGGGCAGAGCTCAGTACTGGGTGTGGGTGTGGGGTCTGGGAACGTCATCCCCACCCTGTGCAGCACCTGGGGGTGGGGAGGAGGGCAGGAGGATGGCACTGAGCCACAATGGGACAGAAAGGTCAGCTCTGCTCCCGCATGGGGCAGAGGCCCTGCAGCAGCTCCTGGCTGCACGCTAGGAGCCCTTTGACCTTCTGCTATGGGGCTGGGCTGGGGGCAGGGGACGGCAGAGCTGTGGGGCAGAGTGCTGCCCTGAGCTGTGTCAGCAGCTCCTGTCCTGCCGTCTGTCCTGCTGTCACGCTGTCTGTCCATCCATCCTGCTCTCTGTCTGCCCTGCCCACCACCCTCAGCTCTGCGGTGGCCACTTGCTCCCATGTCCCCCACCACCGACCACCGTGGTGGCTCTCAGTCGGGGCCCAGCCCTCTCCTAACGCCACTTCTCGTTGCTCCCTGCCAGGCGTGAGGAGCCATGAACTGGGCCGGCCTCTACGCGGTGCTGAGCGGGGTGAACCGCCACTCCACCGCCATCGGGCGCATCTGGCTCTCCGTCATCTTCATCTTCAGGATCATGGTGCTGGTGGTGGCAGCCGAGAGCGTCTGGGGGGACGAGAAGTCCGCCTTCACCTGCAACACGCAGCAGCCGGGCTGCAACAGCGTCTGCTACGACCACTTCTTCCCCATCTCGCACATCCGCCTGTGGGCCCTGCAGCTCATCCTGGTCACCACGCCGGCCCTGCTGGTGGCCATGCACGTGGCCTACCAGCAGCATCAGGAGAAGAAGCTGCTGATGATGACGGGCCACGCGGACACCAAGCACCTGGAGGAGGTGAAGAAGCACAAGATGCGCATCGCGGGATCGCTGTGGTGGACGTACGTCTGCAGCGTGGTCTTCAGGCTGCTCTTCGAGGCCGTCTTCATGTACCTCTTCTACATGATCTACCCCGGCTACCAGATGGTGCGGCTGGTCAAGTGCGAGGCTTATCCCTGCCCCAACACCGTGGATTGCTTCGTCTCGCGGCCCACCGAGAAGACCATCTTCACCGTCTTCATGCTGGTCACCTCCAGCGTCTGCATCGTGCTCAACATGGCCGAGTTGGTCTACTTGGTGGTGCGGGCTTGTGCACGCCGCAGCCGACACAACTCCAACCCTTCCTCGGGGAAAAGCTCTTTCTACGGCCACAAGCTTTCCTCTGAGTACAAGCAGAACGAGATCAACCAGCTGCTGACGGAGCAGGACGGATCCCTCAAGGACATGCTGCGCCGCAACCCCAGCCTGCAGGAGAAGGGCGACCGCTGCTCTGCGTGTTGAGCCCCACGCCTCCCCACAGCCCCGGGGAGGGTGCACACTGCCCTCATATTGTGTGTTGCACGCCCGGTGCCGGCCCTCCTGGACAGTGGGGATGGGGAGGGCAGGGCAGCCGCTGTGTGCTCGGGCCATTAAATGTCCATTCTCAGGTGCTGCCTCCCTGCTTTGTGCTCGGGGTGGGGATGCGGTGCCAGCGTGGGGTGCCTATCCCTGAGCAGAGAGGAGCAGTTCTGGCTGCACCCAGGCTACCACTGCCCCATGTGCAGGGCTGCCCAGCCCCATACCTGGGGGTTTGGAGGGCCACGGTCCCCAGGTGCAGTTGTGGTTGCGGTCACGGTGCCCCAGCAGTGCGCGTGTGGGAGCGGTGACCCTCTGATGGCATTGAGCGCCAGCCCCTGCAGCCCCACAGTATATTTAGAAAAGTGCCCAGACCAAAAATAGAGGGGAAATTTTTTCCCCCAGTGGCTGCTTCATCTGCCAATCACAAAAAAAAGCCAATGGAGCCTGCAGCTGCATCACGAACCGCTAACCTTCTGCCCACCATCGGGTGGACAGACAGACAGACAGCCGGAGCCGGGTAGACCTGTCCGCACTGTGAGCGCGGGGGAAACAGCTTTGGAGCATCCCACACCACTCTGGAGACAGCGTGGGAGCAGCCACGTACCTGCGACGGTGAGGGGTCCCCGTGCAGGCGGTGTCCCCATGGCAGCCGTGCCCACCCCACTGCTGGGGCTGCTCCTGCCTGAAGCTGCCCACACCGGGTCAGGGGGTTTGGGGTGCATGAAGTGGGGGCAGCCCCAGTGCAGGTCCCTGCATGCCCACCCTGGGGATGGGGCTGCGGTCGGGCACGCGTGTGTCCGTCTGTAACGTGGCTGTCTTGCAGCGCCATGGGGGACTGGAGCCTGCTGGGGCGGCTGCTGGAGAACGCCCAGGAGCACTCCACGGTGGTGGGGAAGGTTTGGCTCACCGTCCTCTTCGTTTTCCGCATCCTGGTGCTGGGGGCAGCTGCGGAACGGGTGTGGGCTGATGAGCTGGCTGGCTTCTCCTGCGACACGCAGCAGCCCGGCTGCCAGAACGCCTGCTATGACAGCACCTTCCCCATCTCCCACCTGCGCTTCTGGGTCCTGCAGATCATCTTTGTCTCCACCCCCAGCCTGGTGTACCTGGGCCACATCCTGCACCTGGTGCACCTGGAGGAGAAGGCGCAGCAGCAGGCGGCAGCGCGGGGTGGCGGTGGGGCTCGGAGGCAGCAGGGGAAACCCCGGATCCCAGCACGGGACACTCAGGGCCGGGTCCGCATGCGTGGGGCCATCCTGAGGACGTACGTCTGCAGCGTTGTCTTCAAGGCTCTCTTCGAGATGGGCTTCATAGCAGGGCAGTATGCCTTGTATGGGCTTGAGCTGAAGCCCCTCTACACCTGCGGCCGCTGGCCCTGCCCCAACACCGTCAACTGCTACATCTCCCGGCCCACTGAGAAGACCATCTTCATCCTCTTCATGCTGGGGGTGGCCTGCGTGTCTCTGCTGCTCAACCTGGTGGAGATCTACCACCTGGGCCTCACCAAGTGCCAGCAGCGGCCAGGTCCCAGATCCCGCATCCTGCCTGGCCCTGGTGGCCTTGCAGGGTCCCACAGTGCCCGCTTCACCTTGCCTGGTGGTGGCGACCCCATGGATGCCAGCAGACCACACCTGGCACCTCTGGGGAAGGCTGGTGTGTGGCTGGGGGTGGCCAGTGGGTCCCGTGGGAAGGCGCGGGCAGCGGACCTGGCAGTGTGAATGCAGCTGGTGCCTGCTGGGATGCTCGGGGATGGATGATGCGTGGGCTGCTGTGCTGTGGTGTCCACAGCTGTGGTTCCCATCTCCAGGCCTGTGGCACAGACCCCATGGCCAGCATGAGCTGAGCATGGCCCGGGAGCAGCAGGACCAAGCCGGTGCAGAGGCAAACCCCACTACCCCAACCATGAGCCCTGAGGAGCAAATAAACACCCACTGCACCTCACTTGACTCCTGCTCTGCCCGTGGGCACTGTGGCATTGCTGCCTGAACATCCATCTCATGCATGACCCCAAAGGCTGGGGAAGGGCCACCACCATTGCTGGGCTGTAGTCCTGTGGGTGGGGAGCAGGCAGGACAGGCAGCACAGCAAGGGAGGGATGGAGAGGAGATGCATGGTGGCAGCTCTCCTTCCCCAGGGCTGTGATCTGGCTGCAGGGACATGCTGAGCTGGGATCACCCACTGTTGAGGGGACAAGGGCCCTTTTGCCCAACAGAGCCACGCAGCACATGTGGGAGAGGCCAAGCCCAGGGAAGGGAGGATCCCAGCCCCACAGGCAAGCTCCCTGTTCGGGGCTGCGGCTGAGCAAGGGGCTGCATGCCAGTGCCCACCCCTTGCTTGGGGAAAGCAGGGGCAGCCAGCAATTTTCTGCAACTTTATTTGAAATGAATGGTTTCCAGAGACACAGGGTTAGTCCTAACGCCCTGTTATCACTACAACAAGACTGGTGAGTGGCTCACTCTCCACATGGACACAGAGAACAGAGGGCCCCAGGCCAAGGCCCAGAACAATATATACAGGCTCAACAAACAGTGCTGAGACCCATGTACAGCTCAGGAAAACCAACCAGAACACAAGGAGGGGCAGGAGGCAGCAGGGAACAGCACAGCAGGAGCCCAGCCCGCTCTGGGCAGGGCACTAGGGCCCTGCAACTTTGGGAGGGAGGAGAGGCCAAGCAGATCCCCTCACTTCTGCCAGAGGCTGCCTGAGCCTGGAGCAGAGCAGAGGGACCCACTACTGCCACCAGCACCCCAGCCAGCTTGCAATGCTGGTGGCACCTCGCCCTGCGTAGGGGGCTACACCAGGAATGGGGACAGTGAGGAGGGAAGGGCAGCACTGGCACAGACCCGTGTCAGTCAGTTTTCTGCCGACTCAGAAAACATTGACAAAATTGAGGGAGACGACCCAGCTGGGCCTCTGACCCCACGTTCCAGCACCAACTTCATCTGCTCCCAACAGCCAGCCCTGGCCAACCCCCAACCCTGGAAACAACTCTTCCCCTATGCAACAGCTCACACTCTGCCAGTGGTCCTTCCCTGCTGCCCTGAAAACACTGCCCCACTGCAGCAGAGCTACCGTTCCTGCCGTGCCACGTGCAGCTTCTGTGAGCTGATGCCAAGGGAAGGGGGGAATTTAAAAGCCTCAGAGCCTGCTGGTCCCAGGCAGCACTCTGCCGTATTGTGCGGTTCCTGCCTCAGGGCAGAGGGAGAAGGGGTTAGTGTCAGAGCTTGGGGTAGGGGCTGCAGCCCTGGGGAGCGGGAGGACGGGGAGGAAAAGGGGCCACCACCCTGGTGGCTTTGCCACCTCTGTGCTGCAGGGGCTGGCCCCAGGGAAGATGGCCCACCTGGCACGGGACAGGGCTGAGCGCAGGCGCCACGTAGGTAAGAAAGGCCTGTTACGAGCAGGATGAGATGTCTCGAGTCCAGTAACAATGTGGGGACAGCATTGCCGCAGTCCCGGCCCCACGCTGTGCTGCACGGCCCCCAAAACAGGAGTCACGGAGATGAGGTGTCCAAGGCTGGAGCAGAACGAGCCCAGCAGCACCCTGTGCTTAGTCCATATCATCCTCCACACTGCTGAGCCGGCTGTGCTCCTCGTAGATCTCCCTCACCACCAGGATGCGGTTCAGCATGCTTTCCAGCATGCTCCTGTCCATGGGGATGACTGAATACCAAAGCGGGGACTCTGCGATGCACGACCTCTCAGGCTGCAGGTAGAAGATGTCGTTGCGGTTCCGCATACTCTCAGGACTGTAAGGAGAAAGGAAAGTGAGACCTAGGACATCAACAGCACGGACTCAGAAAGCCTGGCTCGCCCTCTCGATTATCAAGGAGGGCTCAAGGGTCTCATCTTCTGGGCTGGACAAGGCCATGCACTGTAGTCCTCACTCCAAAGCAAGCTCCCTAACCAATGCGCCACATACCCCTCCATGTCTTTCAAGAAATAAGGAATGAAAGCAGACAGAGAGAAGTATTCTCTCCATCACAGTCTACAGCAGTGCAGACCCTGGTCAAGGCTTAACGCTGATGGAAGAACGTGCAGAGAGCAGCAGCTAGTCCACTGGGTCTCCCTGAAACTGAGAGGTGGCCCCAAAACAACACAAGCCTCTGATCCAGAAAAGCCTCACCATTTAGAGAGGTAAAACTCGTAGAACTTGACGGGGCATCGAAGCGGGTTCATCTTGTTCTCCCGCTGCTCCAACATTGGCATCTCCTCCTCACGCTTCCTCTTTCCAGTGCTACCATCTGCAAAGGCGGGATAGGGGTAGGATCACAGCTGGGACACGACAGAGAAGGCAGGGAGAGGGACAAAGAGATGTTCTGTCAGACCCTACCTCGGCCTTTCTTCTGCTTGGCAGGAGCGCAGTAGCGGATGCTCACCATCTTTGTGACGCCACGGGCTGTGGTGCACTTGCGAGACTGCCGCACTACGTTGGTGAAGGAGAGCTGCATGTGCTCCTCCGCCGTCTGCAGCCCAAAGAACTTCGTGTTGAAGAACATAAGGGTGTTAAGGAGCACAAAGGGTGAGTAAACGCCCAGCTGCTTGCACTCCCAGAGGTGCTCCTCCTCGACACGTGAGAAGACTGTGTCTGTAATACAGAGGAAGAACCAGGTCAACACCCACAGCGGCCTCGTGTTCTTTCAGGAGGGAACTAGAACAATGTGCCTGCCAGCAGTGGCTGGGAGCCAGCCCCACGCATCTGAAGAACGTGGGCCTGGAGCAATCCCTTCCCCTCCAAGTTCAACTCGGTGCTGACACTTCACAATGCCCGCCTTCCCATGAGGTTCCTCCTCCGGAGCCATTGGTGGACCCTAACCCTGCCCATTCCACAGCACAGGCAAATCTCAGCCCAGAATCCCAATAAATCCTAACAGCTCATCCCTACAGATGGCCACGAAGTGGACTCCAGGTCAGTGCTCCACCTCACTACGTGAGATAATAGAAAAGCCAGCCCCTCTCTAGACACACAGGTCTGGAGCCAAAGGCTTCTGCCTGGAACAGCCATCATGCACAAGAGAGGCTACAGCAAATACCTGTTTATTGCAGGGAAGGAAGCCCAGATTGTGGCATCATGGAAAGCCTCTGCAAAGTTCT